AAAAAAGTGTGAAAACACGTGTAGTACAAGCCTTTGAAGTGCGATATGCCGCCACCGTGAAAACGTATGCCATCTATTGGATGGATCAATATCGATCGTGATTGCAGTCGATATTGTCAATACGTTCTTTAACACAGTGTAACAGTATTATATAATTTTTGCTCCTTCTATTTAAAAAGATAATGAAAAAATAAGTATAATGAAAAAAATTGTTTCAAATATGATAAACATAAATAGGAGCAACTAATGACAAATATATTTTACTGATCTAACATTCTTCAGATTTTAAGCAAAAATCAATATTTATCACATGAATTTCTAATACAGGATATTTTTTACTTAGAATATATAATTTATAATTTATAATTTATAATTTATAATTTATATTAATATATGAATATATATTATAATTTATATTTTTGCACAATGCAGTTATGAAGTGTTACAAAATAAGTATCCATTATAAATATTAAATAAATATCTAAATTTATAATAAAACTAAGAACTTTACATTTAACAATATCAAAATAGTTGAAAAAAATTCTCAAACTATCGAAAAAAGAGCAAAATTATTTACAATAGAGAATTTTTCAATTCTAGATAGAAACTATCGATTAAGTATCGAAAAACATCGATCTATTTATTCGAAACAGGTGTAAAAAAAAGTTTTGCTCAAATAAAAAATAAGAAACAATTTTAAACTTAAGCAATGTTTAATTATTTTTTATGTTTAATTATTAAATCGGTGCAATTGTTGCCAAGAATTGAAAATGTAAGCTTTGCTTACATTTTCGATAACCGTATAAATTAATCATGGGCGTTTCGCCGATGTTCTATGCGACTTAATTGCGTAGAAACTTGACGCTATTTGTATCTCTTGATATCTATGTTATTTTAGTGAAATTTAAAAAAATGTAACAAAATATCCGTAGCGCAACAACAAAAAACAGACTTGAAGAGACATGTAAGCAAGGCTCAGCCTAATTGTCATTTATTACAGCCGATGCTAGCTGATACAAAACGCGGGGGTGGCACAGCGGGTGGTGAAGAGGGTGAGACTGAAGACGGCGTGGAGTATTACAGACTCCGATCTTTCTCCATAACGGCAAATGGGGTCTTCAACTTGGGTGACTCATTGAAGACACGTCGCAGTAGGAGCATCAACAGCGTCACCTCCTCCACCAGCTGCAGCAGTACCCGAGAAAGTAGACTACTCAGGTAAGGGTAAATAGACTTGAAAGAGCAAATTACATTTATAAAACATTAATTTGTTTGCCGGAATGCGGTTAGATTTCAACTAGCTTAAGATATATTTTATACATACCGAAAATATTCCAGAATATTAATAAATAATTAGCGTATCTCGAAACGCTGAACGAAAACGATCAATATGCGTTTCGTTTTGTTTGATATCGTGAAATTGCAATATGCGCTTCATTGGAGTTACACCGCATTACTCATAATGATTGTATCCCCAGCATACTTATAACTAGCAATTATTAAGAGAAGAAAGCTGTATCGGATTATAAATAAAGATAATTATTCTCTTTCATACTATTGTTCGCGAATAATAATAATGAGGACTATAAAGATGTCGTGGTTAAAGGGATAAATAATTATCATAATTGGATATTTTTGCTTGTATTTTTGTTATATAAATATAACGCATGAAAATATAATATGACTGCAAAGAAAAGAGAGGAGAAAGGGACACTTTGGAAAATAATCTTCCATATGGTACACGTGTAAGCATCGTACTCTTCTATATTTCCATCTCTGCTCTGGGCTTGTTTATTTTCTCCTTCGAGGACTTCGTCATAAGCCGTTGTCGGTTTAGACAAAGAAAAATATGTTAAATGTTTTCCCTCGCATGACTTTACATGAAACAGGTTTCTCATGGGATAGATTATGATACGTCTCTTGACTTGTTTGTCTATCGGAAAACAATATGCAAATCAAGAAATAGAAAAAGATTTTTTGTAAAAAGTTAAAAAGATTTTATGTAAATAAAAGTGACAGACATATTCTACATATGTAATAATTATTTAAGAGTGAAATATAATAATATATAATTATTAATTATTATAATGATATATATAAAATAATAATAATTATTGGCTTTAAACTTGATAATTTTGTACGATTATTTCCGAATTAGCAGATAAAAAAACATTTTAGAAAAATATATTTTTCTGAGATATTTGTACAGTATAAACATAAATATTAAATTATTTGTTTCCTAAAATAATATTAAAGCTGTAATTTCTTAAATGAAATGAATTGTATATTTTCATTTCCATATAATGTTGCAAGATATTTTATTCATTATTAAATTTGTACATATAGCTACTGCAAACTAAGGTAACTTCTGACAAAACTCTTCATATCTCCGCTAATTAATAAAATAATTACATATTGACATTTTAAGCAAACATACACATACACATACATCGACGTACGCATGCATACTCAACGTAACATAGTTAACATAATTATTATATTAATTAATAATTCATATGTATGTGTAATTTGTTTAGTGCTTGTTTCTTGCTTGCAAATTTAGCAGGTAAACCATGAAAAACGGAAAATTGTATAACCTAGAAATTATTTGGGAAAATTGCTTTCCTTTGATAGTAGATGATGTTTGAATACCAAATCTAAATTTATCATTGGTTCGTTCGAAATAATCATTCTAGAAATTCAAGTTAATCTTCCCGAATGGTTACTCGCACGTTTGGTATTCGTTCGGTACTCACAAATAGCAGATCATATTTGGCGTATCTTTTTCCAGTCTCCATCTCAAGCCCATCTCTTCGCCTGCGATTATCAGTGAAGTTACTCTCGCCGACTGTAATACGAATACCACGCATAACTCCGGATAATAACCTCCGCGATTACTTAAGGACATCTTAATTGGCCGCGAGTAATTACACTGCATCTTTAGGTAAAAACCACAGTCGTAAAAAAGTGCCGAACTCTGATTTTGTTTCGTTAAAAAAGATTAAGGACATCTTTCGTTCGCATTTAGACCGATTAAGAGACCTAAGAGTTCAAAAAAGCTTATCTCATTCCGTTCCTCGTGCTTAAAATTCACCGAGGCGATTTTCAATAATGTCGAATCCCGAAGGATCGCGCCAAACTGACGAAAGACAACGACGTGTAATCTCTCGAGAATGCTTTCTTATAATTGGGAGTCTCGAATTATACAGTATTTAAAATCATGAAAAAGATTTCTCGGTCACACATAATAATTAACGACCAGCTTAATTCAGATCTCGTCGATCGACGTACATTTCTCGAACAAGCAGAAATGTCTAATCAAAATTGTCGAAATAGATTTTTTATGAAAATGAAAAAAGCCGCCTTTCCTATCTGTCAATATAAAGCGGTGAATATAAAGATCGAATCATACTGGCGAATAATCAAGATAAAAAACATTGGCAGAATATCCAAAGGCGAACTCTCGATGCGATTCATTCGAATGTAATATCTCTTTTGTCAGATTATTCTTTTTAATTTCCTCTCTTCTTCAGCTCGGCATCGCAACTTTCCGGCATGGAGGCGGAGGACGAAGGCGGCAGCGAGCGAGTAGCGACATACAAAGTGGGCATGTTGGGCGCATCGGAAGTCGGAAAGACCGCTCTGACTGCACAATTCACCACGAGCGACTACATCTGCGCTTATGATGCCTCTCTCGGTAAGCATGTGTTGATTTGTCTTTATATTTTCTTCCTCCTCCGTGTAATCCCGATCCAATTCGATATTACGGAAGAATTAGCTCGATCTCGGATAATCGCGATATCCGATCGGTAATTGGACCACTCCACACGAAACGGTCGGTCCATTGGGCGGATTCGTGTGCAATTAAAATCCACGGATATTGGGAGGAATAGCAATTACGTTTCCCGTCACGAAAAGACAAACCGGTTCGTTTTCAAACGTACGTTGCCGACGTTAAACCGGAGGGTCGCTCTACTGCGGCAGGAAATCGACATCGTTTCCGCTTCTGTCTTCGAAAGAGAATGCCTCTCCTCTGAATAGATCACGGATCGCCAGACGATCGTCTCGTGACGACTTTTTTCGTATTTAATTATGTAGCACTTCTTGCAACTTGCGCCAGATTGTTCGCGATATTCGCAGTTAGCACTTTCATTTGACGGAATTAATTAATCCGCTGGCTGTAACGATTAACGATTATATATAGAGGATTGTATATAATTATCAGGATATTCCGTATATATACCGTAATGAAAAATACAAATCGAAGCCAAACATCTCCTATGAAAGTAAGCAGCTACGCATTATTGAAACACAAAAATTACTATAATTCCGAAACAAGATCGAATGCATGTTATATGAACTTTTTTCATCGTTTCAATGTTCCTCATCCGCATCATTCATCTATCTATCATTTATATATATATATATATATATATATATATATATATATA